GGTCCCATGGGGGTGGCGCATTGGGCTGAAGTGCAACCCCCCATCTGCCTGGGAGCAGGGTCCCCAGGGCCCAGCAGGGAGGGTGAGGGGTAGAGCTGAAGGAGGAGACCGGGGAAGTGGTGTCCCTGCAATGGGGCCTGCAGGACAGCCTGGGGCCCGAGACAAGCCCGTTGGGGTTCCCTGCACGGCCATGGGTCTGGGCTCTGTGCTGCATGGGTGACACATTTGCCCTGTCCCCCAGCTTGCAGGCCCCTTGCTTGCCTGCCTGGCCCAGCGCCTCGGAGAGAGGGGTGTCCTCCGGCACCCCGGCCAGCTTTTCCGTGACTCACAACCTACAGCACCAGGGCCCAGGCCTTGGAGGGGCTGGGGGGACGGGCAGATGCTGTGCCGGCTCTCAGCACTCCCTGGCAGGGACTGCACTGAAATGGGGCCGGTGCCCTGTGCGGTAGCGCGGCCCGGGGCTGGGCTGTGAACAGGGAGCTGCGCTGAAATGGGGCCAGTGCCCTGTCGGGGGAGCTGGCCCGGGGCTGGGATCGGAGCAGGGCTGAAATGGGGCCGGTGCCCTGTGGGGGGAGCTGGCCCGGGGCTAGGATCTGAGCAGGGAGCTGGCCCGGGGCTAGGATCTGAGCAGGGAGCTGAAATGGGGCCGGTACCCTGTGGGGGGAGCTGGCCCGGGGCTGGGATCGGAGCAGGGCTGAAATGGGGCCGGTGCCCTGTGGGGGGAGCTGGCCCGGGGCTGGGATCGGAGCAGGGCTGAAATGGGGCCGGTGTCCTGTTGGGGGAGCTGGCCCAGGGCTGGGCTCGGAGCAGGGAGCAGGGCTGAAATGGGGCCGGGGCCCTATCGGGGGAGCTGCCCGGGGCTGGGCTCGGAGCAGGGCTGAAATGGGGCCGGTGCCCTGTCGGGGGAGCTGGCCCGGGGCTGGGCTCGGAGCAGGGAGCTGCGCTGATACAGGTGTGGGGAAGCCCCCGGCCCTGCTCGGTCTGGGCCCGGCTTGAACGTTGCTAGGGCTCCCTGTGGCCAGGGGCTCGTTCCACGCCTGAGGGCACATGGCTCCGCTGGGCTTGGGGTGGGGGGTGCCGCGCTCCGGCGCAGCCAGTAACGCCTCTAACACCTGCCTGCGCCGTCAGCCTCTCTGGCTTCACGCGCTCTGGGCTGGCCGTGCTAGGCTGCCCTCGTGTTCCCCGGGCGAGGCCCCTCCCTCACCCAGCTGCACTGGAATTAGCGAGCGGGTAGCTGGTGAAGCAGACACGTCAGTTACGGGCCTGCCCTTCCCATGCTGTGCCCGCCAGCTCGGGGCCGCAGCCGGAGATACAGAGCCTTGGGGAACCACGGCAGTTCTGAATCAGATTGGGAGTGGAGTGGAGTGGAGTGGTTAGAGCAGGGGGCTGGGAGCCAGGACTCCTGGGTTCTACCCTGATCCTGTCACTGACTCCCTGTGTGACTCGCAGCGAGTCCCTTCCCCCAACTGGGCCCCCGTGCCTCCCGACAGGTTGACCCCCCTGGGCTGAGGTGACGTCTGGCTGGCAGTAGTGTGGAGTCGAACTGCGGAGCCCCGTGGGGGGAGCCCTAGAAGCGGGCGACTCCAGGACCCTTAACTCCAGAGCGCCGCGTCAGGTCTCTGCAGCCTACGGCTCGAGCCCTGTGACCAGTGACTGCTGCTAGCCGGGGCAAGGGGCCCCCAGGGCTGGACCGTAGCCTGGCCCCCTCATCAGTCTGACC